GCAAGGTGACCGATTTTTCATTCATTGCTTAATACAATAGAAATGATTTAAATTTCAATATTCAAACCCCTCTGCTTTAAGTTGGTGCATAGATATCCCTCATGCCCAGCTTCCTTAGGATCACTTGTAGTCGAGGATTACTAACAACCTTGGTAAGAATGTTTGCTGGCTTGTCTTCGATCTTCACTGGAAGGCAAATATCTTCGGGAGCAACTCTTTCTTGAATGAAATGTCATTCTGCCTCTTGGTTTTGTCATGCTAGTCTAGATTGTGAGCTAATGGTTGCCTTGTTATCACAATACAAGAATTTTGATCCCTTCACTATAAAACAAATATCTCATAATAGGATGTATAACCAAAGCAATTCACACACCATGGGCCATGGATCGGTACCTTGCTTCTGAACTTGGATGAGTTACTACTGACTATGTATTTTGCTCCTTCAAGTCACAATGTTACCCCTAACCAAAGTATAGTATCCTGATGTAGATCTTTGGTCCATGATAAAACCAAGCCAATCTGCATTTCTATGTGCCTCAACTCTTAGTGTCCATAGTTAGCAAACAAATAGTCCTCTACCTGGTGGTGATTTTAAATATCTAAGAATTTTGTAAGTAGCTTCAAGATGAGTAGTTCATGGAGTGTGCATGAACTGTCTAATCACACTCGCAACATATGCAATGTTTGGACGTGTAAGTGAAAGATATATCAACCTTCCTAGTAATCTTTGAAACATGCCTAATTTTTTAGAGTTTCACCCCTCTGGTTGTTGAATTTGTGGTTTTGTTCTATAGGACTATAGCTTGTTTGGACTCGAGCTTTTATGTTTCCTAAGAAGGTTCAACACATACTTCCTTTGAGTGATAAAAATCAATGTCTTTCATGTTCGAAATGAATACATGCGAGGGAACTTAAGGATAGCTCCAATAGGCCACAAGATGAGGGTAAATTGACTTAGGTTGGCTGGCCATATGCAGCGTAGACCTAATACAGTACTGGTTAGGAGATGTGATTTGGTTCAAGTGGAAGGCTTTAAAAGAGAAAGGGGAAGGCCAAAAGGACATGGATTGAAGTAGTGAGAAAAGATATGGGGACTTATGGGTCTCACTGAGGGTATGGCCCTTGATGGAGCAAAAAGACAAAACGTGATTTGTGCAGCCGACACCAAATAGTTGGGATAAGGCTCTGACGCTGATAATGATTACATAAATATCAACACGCATGTCGGTATTAGTACATGTCCGAGTATCTAGTACGTGAGGCTAAAATGTCAGTACTTCCCTATACGTCCGCACAACCAATATTTTGAATAACATTTGTATATTTAATGTAACTTCCTTTGGCCTTACACCTTGTACACAGTGTTATAGCGGTCGAATTAGTGCTTTAGGCTTATATATAAAATGATGTTTGCTTAATTCAACGTCAAAGTGGCCTTTTGGTAGTATCATTGTTCAAAAACGCGGACCCCCCAGTGCCTAGGCGGTCCAGAAGACCTCGGCGCTTCGCCCAGGCCTAGGCGGCTAAACTGGGCGACAGTCCCTTGGTGGCTGCCTAGGCGGTACGGAACCCAACTAGGCAGGCGCCCGGCAACTACCCAGGGCCTGCGCCCCTCCTAAGAGTGGAATTTAATTTTTTTTTAGTTCTATTGATTTTTTTTTAAACATAAAGGCTTTTAAGGATGGATTTTAGGTTCATTTGAAACCTAAACCCACAAGAACCCATTTTAGAGAGAAAAAACCTCGAAAAAAACTAAATTTTGTGATTTTCATTGGATCGAAGTGTTTCTCAAAGTTACGAAAAATGGATCCAAACATCGCTCAGGTAGATTATATTTAGTTTTGGAGTTTTATAATCCTATTAGAGGGTGTTTTTTATTATTAGCGCCTAAAAACATCTCAGAGGCGGGAGTTTGGAGTTCAAACAATCAAAGTAAGTGGAAAACTTTATTTTTAAGATTGCTTGCTTTATTTTGAGATGTCTTCTCCAGGATCTAGTCAAAGTGGAGATCCGGATTCGAAATATGGATATAACCCGAATCCAAATGACAAAATTTGCATTAGATGCAATTATTGTGAAAAAGATACAAAAGGAGGCATAAACCGGTTTAATCATCTTGTCGGTATTAAAGGGGATGTTGCCCCTTGTAAAAATGTTCCTGAAGCTATTAGAGAGAGATTAAGTTCTGTAAAACAAAAACATGAACAAAATCCTTGTCATTTGAATAGATCTATTTTTG